TCCTATTATTTCTTTGTGTTTATTTTTGTTAATAACTTTGAAATTCTTGTTTTCTATTGTTTCATCTTGTTGTTCATGTTCATTAATTGATATTTAAATGAACCAAAACCGGTGTAACTTACTTCACTGTATGATGGAATAACCCTCTTGTCCTGAAGCTGAGCAACTAGATATAAATAAACCATCACAGTTTTCATTAGACAGAGTTTTTAAAGGCACTCTAGACTTAAATGGGAGTAGTATGACAGTCATATCATCAGTACTTCCCTTTTCAAAAGTAACATTTTACTATGCACTTTGCTAATGAATACATGTAAGAAGAATTTAGTTTGACAATGTGTTCGAGACATGCTCTGGGCTTAGTTGTTCAAAAACACCATCAGATGCATCGACCAAATAACTGTCATTTGCTGTCAAAGTGTTTCAGTCAGTGATCTCATGAACAAATATAACACCATAACATACAAGATCATATGAAAATATAACACCATAACTTAATATATCTAATTAACTTGCTCTTAGTTTTTAGGGAAAATAGATTGGTTCACAAGAGGGGAAATATATAACAGTTTAAACCTAAAATATATACTTTCATAAAACCATATGTTCAAACTCTTATTAAACTTGTAACTCAATCCACATGCCTAATACTGTTTTTTCCAACTAAATCAGGACGAATTACAAAATCTAAACTTCTAGCCATATTATTCTAGTCAATAACTTGCACTGAACCATAAATAAAAGGCAACTCTAAAAATTGATCCAGTAAAGTTGGTCTCTACCTCAAGAATCCATCCAATGTACTTAACATTATTAACATGATGATTCACATATAAATCATTCCACCTAGGCTACAACTACAAAATTTTATATAAAATCAGCACTAAGAAATGAGCACAATGCACCTCTACAAAAAATTGATGAATACTTATGGACAATCCACTAGGGATATAGTCCGTTGTCTCATCATTGAGCTCCGGCAACTTCCTGCTGTCGACAATCTCAGCTCCGGTAATAGGTGGTGTATCAACAAAATGACTTCCAATTTCAGCTCGAACTTCATCTGGCATTTTTGACAACCTTCTTGAACTGAAGATCGAAGGACTCGAACTTGAGATGCTTGGACAAAGGAAGCGATTGAAACCAGGCCATGTGATGAGCTTCTCGCCGGCAATGAAACGACGTGTTGAGCTTCTCATCGGCGATGATTGATCGGCGATGAAGTGTTGCGTTGAGCGGAGCCACACAGAGCGGAGGCCAAACGGCGGGGGGCGGAGCCGCGAAGGGAGGAGGCGCAGCCAGAGCTGATAGGAGTAGAACAATCGCACACTTAGCGAAGGGAGGATGCAGGGGGTTGCGTTTTGATTTGGGAATTAGGTTATTTTTTAAATACAAAATCATAATTGAAAATATAAAAGATTAAAAGTGAAAAGAAGAAATAAGTGGGACAATACTCGTATGTGGGACACATAAGTGGATGATATGGGTAATTTCCACTTAAATCTAATGATAGAGATAATCTTGGTTGAGTTCGTTCGTTTTCTTTCAGGTATAATTCAAAATCATAAAACACACAAAAATAAAACGATTAGTAGTATTGTGTACGAGGTCTAGGCATGGCAATGGGTCGGGGCGGGTACTCTAAGACCCGGACCTGCTCCGTGACTTCACTGGGTGGACTCGCCCCGCCCCATGACCTGCACGGGTCCAAACTTGTTGACCCATGACCCCCCGTCCCGTTGTAAACTAATTAAGGTATGCATTTCTTTTTGTGTGAAGTTGTTTCTACTTGAATCTACATAAATTTTATCTCTAAGTAATTATTAAAAAATAATATATTAAATCAAAGTCACAATACGTTTAAAAATTTTAAAACTTAGAAAAAATACTTAGAATTGAATAGTTAATCTATTTATATTAATAATTGAATATATAAAAGACATTGATAATTCGTCATTCATCTCATTCAAATACAAATATTACAAAGTAATATTATAAGACCAAAGAATTTATGATTTATTGTTTACACATATATGTATGTAGAAGTATATTTGTAGTATAACTTTAAAAAAGTATACTTAGATATTGAGCGGGCCGGATCGGGACGGGACGGGGCGGCACGAGTCAATAATAAGACCCAGACCAGTCCCATTTGCAAGATACAAATATCTCAGGTCAAGACGGATCATTGCGGGTCGGTTTTTTTTGACATGCCTACCGAGGTCGATCTATGAGACTCGGATATGATCATCATTACTGTATGGTTAGAAGTCATTACTATAATTATGTGAGTTTGTGACTTCAGAATCTAACAGTCATGACTTAAATCGCATCACATTTTTATTTAGCAAACATACTACAAAAAAGAAGAAGAAAGTCGTGCAAATTAATAGCACACCATCCAACTGTTCAACACTAAACTGAGCCTTAATGTCTCCTCGATTGCAATTTGCAATGGCTTTTCAAGGAATGTGAAATTATATAAGTTGACAAGAAATGCGACTTTTCAAACTTACAGATGTGAAGGTGTATGTTATTAAGTCGTGGTTTATGCTTAGGAAGTTAAGGCACAATTACTTTAACTTTGACTTTTTTCCATAAAATATATTTATTAAATAAACTACGCTTGTATTTCTAACGAAAGCACTTGGTTTAATTTCCTGCACGTATCACATATCATCAATTTCATGTTATCATTATGGGTCAATATGTTTTTAGCAAGGAGTCAAGTGATTTGGGAGAGCTTTTATAATGTGATGAATTCTTTACTTTGACAAGTACTACCTCTTCCTTTCTCATTACATTTTTTACACTATTCACATATTCTACTAATTAAATTTTATTAATTAATGTATTATAAATTAAATTTTAAAAAATATTGTTAAACTCTCTAAATTTTCAAAATATGATTTTTTAAATTTTTTACTAATAAGAAATGAAAGATATTAATGATCAAACTTGTGCGTTGGCAAACATGAAATGTTGAATGTTGCAATTAAAAGAGAACGGAGGAAGTATGACTGAATGAGTGAAGGGTATTTATGTTTTGATAATCCTTGTAAAAATTAGCAATCAATACAAGATATATTTATGCACTATTTTCTGGACAACTATTTCCCATGCTCAAGTTATTGTAATCTTTGATACGATTTCCTTTAAGATTTGATCCTTCAATTATTGTATTTTTGACCAATTTTGGCCCGTGAGTTCAAAACCAACAACTCAATGTACTAAAGCCATGCTTGAGTCAATGTACAACACATTTTCAATTTTCAACACATAGTCAGCAGTAAAAGCCATGCTTGAGTTTCATGTCCATGACCACAAATGGCAACTACAGCAACTCTTCCAAATGTTTGACTCAATGCTCTCAAGAACTTATCATTAATTCCATGTTGATTCTATATTGTATAAAACTATCCAATAACTGGTAACATAGATTGTATAAACCATCATACACTTTGGCCATTACATCCCGATCATGTTAAGTCATCTCATACCGACCAAATATAAACATACAAACTCGTATATAAAGGTTGTGACTACTCATATAAGTCTTAATATGATATCGAGGTCAAATAAATTAAATTTGCATGAACAATCAATTCGATTAAAACTTTGAAACACTGATTTCTAGATTGCTCTAATTCAACGAACTGTCGTCTCGTGAAACATACATACATACTCGTCAAACCGTCAAATATAAATATACAAATTCACATATCATAGGGGGATTTGGATCCTCTGTCGCACGACACTCTGTCTAGCGCAGATCCAATAGTAGTATGAACGGGGATGGAGGGGAGTGACATGTACTCAGCTGCACCTGACTGTCAAAGCCAGACAGAGAAACCGGACCCATCGGTGGAAGGAACTAATTTTAAAACTTTTGTGCCTTTTTTGGGGTACATTATACTTTGATGGAGAACTTGCAAGCCCTTTTGGAGTTTTAGGTTGCAGATTTGTACCTACAGATGACCTTACACCTAAGCACCCTATCCTGCACGTAAAACCCGGGCATGACCATTACCTTAACCCGACCCGGACCTTGTGATCTCTGCCTATCCGCAAAAACATCCTCCATGAAATGAGCTTCGAAAGGCCTGTTTTCTTCAACCCTAAGGATCACCAATGGCGGGGAAAATGAGAGCGCGAGCAGATGCAGCAGCCAGATGCACTTAGCGGAGACGAAGAATGCCTGGAGAAGCTGCTCGGGCCATGTCGTGTTCCAGTTCAGAGCGGTAATTACAAAACTCATTCTCTGATCGCAGAACTTGCTGAATTCCTCACTGTAATACTTTGTCCCCTTCTTCAAAACTTGGTTCCAGCTAAGGTCTCTCAAGGCCACAAACGAGGAAAATTGCGATTGGCGTTCTTCTTCGGGGTTTAAGTGCTTTGGTGAGCCGTTCTTCATGAAAGCGCAATTCTCGAAGTCCTGATAGAGCGTCTGGTTTATGATTGCTTCCAAATGGTACAAAACCGCCTTTGAGTACTTCGAATTTAGGGTTAATCTATACGGTTGAAGGAGAAGGTTCAAGTTATCAGATAAATTAGAATCGTCTGTTTCTTCAATTCGAGAAATTAGGGTTTTGCAGAACTGCTTAACTGATAATCTCGCCTCCGAAGCCACTTGCAAGAACCCCTCCAGCATTACTTCCTCGCTCACCGGCATCGATTTTGCTCCTCCGTCCATGATTCTCGGGAGACTTTTAAGCTTCATGCTCCCGAGCTGGGAGTGATCTTTTGCAGCTACAATTAAGGCGTTCTTTAGTTCTTCACAGTTTCTCTCCAAGTACTCCAATTTCTTGCTTAGTTCCACTATAGAAGATTTTGTATCTGCAACTTCCCTGAGTGCTGCATCTCTACTATCATTTGCTTCTTTCAGCTCTTTCTTCAATGCTTCAATGGATGCGAACCCGATATCGTTGTCATTAGTATAGATTTGAGAGACACCCTCAGATTCTGTCCTCATTGGTGAAAATTCGCTCTTGCTTTTCTTTTTAACCCGAGGGAACAACCAGGAGAACATCAGCCCTTTGTTCCTTGGCTGCTGTGATTGAGCAGAAGAGTGGGAGTCTGATTGTGGCATAACATGGTTACCTGCTGGAGAAGCTTTGGGAGGGAGTGAGGTTTGGTCAGTAAAAAAACTTTGAGGTGAATCTCCCATATTGACAAAGGGAGTAGTAGCCATCTTTCTTAAAGAAGGTTTTGGTTTTGGGCAATAGTAATTGTTATTATCCGATAAAACCGATTCGTTTCCACTTTCTGTTCCTCCTCTGAGATTATATTCGTCTGGAGTTTCAGCGCAGCTTCGGCTTTCTAGCTGTTTATAGCCCGGCAATGGTTCATCTTCATAACTCTGTCAAAACAAGTCTCAAATGGATGAATCATGAACAAATATGGAAGGTTTCTTAAAGCAGTCACTTCTCTTTTTTCTAAAATAAGGCAATGTATGTGCACTTGGAATAATGACAATGTAGCTGATATTGTAAAGATCCATTGTTTCAAGTTTTAAGGAAAAATGCAATTGTAAGGCAATCATAATAGTAAATATTGGTACATTTAATTTTTCTATGTTCTTTTAGACCAATGCTCTGTAACTAAAACTTAACTATTACTCTGGTAAATGAAATAGGATGAACACTGGACTTTGGTTTTGTTCCAACAAAAAACTAACCTAGTTAGTGACAGAAATCTAGCAACCCAAGGAATGGGAGTTTTTTGGTCACTGAACTTATATTTTTTTGTTTACCAAAAAAAAAAGTTTTTATGTCCCAAAAAAAATGACAGCCATTTTCTCTCCGTCCTACTAATCCTACTCACTATATTTCTCCCTTGATCATTTATTAAAGTCAATTTTGCAAAAACATTAATAGCAGAATTATTGATGCGTTGAATTAAGCACTCTTGAATTATTTATTTCTGTTTGTCAAATATAGAAAACAGCATTGAAATATTGAAAACGGTATACGAGGAACAGTTGGAACTAATTGAAAGTCTACCTTTTGAAAAGACAAATGATGAATTTCTACCAACCCCACTCAAAACATACTCTGAAGCATCAAGTGCATGTATGATGTATCTATTTGAGTATTTGACTATGTCAAAAAAATGCATATGTTTAACAAATATTCTAAAATAAATGTGAAAATGATAGAGCTCGTTTGGTAACTCTGTTTTTCAACTTATCAGTTTTATCAGCCAACTATTTCATTAAGCACGTAAAATTTGATTTCACGCGTTGAATAATGTAATATAAGAAAAAATAGTAAGGTTGAAGTTAGTTTTCTGGCTGCATTGTTTGAGTTAGTGTAGAGGACTATTATAAATATTTTTTCATATAATTTTTTCTTTTACTTCATTAACGAAAAGTATTTTAAATATAATTTATTCATAAATCGGCAGAATCCCCCGATACAACCACTTCAACCATAACTTCATAAATTTCAGCAGAATCAGCTGATTCAGCCAATTTCAGTGTTAACCAAACGGTCTCTAGATGACATTTTTATAAGTGGAGCATTTCTTGGGTCATGAAAAATAAGACGTAATTATAACTCAATAAACATGGTTCATATAAAATGTGATTACTCAACTTTCATGCATACAAGGAATTATAGAGTACGTGTCTGTTATTTAACTAAACATAAAAAAACTAGTGTTAACTGAACATAAAATGTTAGCACTTGAAAAGATGCATTGGTGCTCCATCCATTAAATTTGGAAGTGATTTCCCCAAAAGATGAAATTTATACCAAGAGAGTAACAAACACTGATATTTAATTTGAGACGTTCCTATATTTAAAAACAAAAATAAGTCACAAACCATTCACAAATATGAGGTAATTATAAATCCCAACCAAAAAACTTAGGGAGCAAATTTTCTGATTTTTTTTTAAATAATTTTTTTTATTAATTTACTTATTTGATGTCAATCAAATTCACGTATACACCATCGGATCATATTCAAGGGCGTAGCCAGGATAAAAGCTTGGAGTGGGTCAGTATAAAGAATTTTTCAGATAAATTTTTACACGTATTTTTATACTAAAATTACAAAGAATTTTTAAATTTGGGGTGGGTTGGGGCCTGGTTGCCCCCTTGCCTCCGCCCCTGATCATATTTATTTGTTAATTGAAAATATAATTACAAATCTTAAGCAATTTGCATAAAACTTTAACACAATTCATATAAAATTATTACCCTATTATTTTTAGATTACGCATGCAGTGCAGATGTGTTTGTTCATAAACCTTTTTTCCATGATTTACAATGTTTTTATTGTCTTAAATTAAAATGGTAAAAGAACATGATATTAACTACAAGTATGGCTGTAAAAAAGTATTACAAAGAATTCATGAACCGAAATAAACAATTACATGGAATTGGAGGGGTAATATATAAATATATAAAATGGTCAATTGAGTCATTTGTCGTAAGTGTGGTAAAGTTCATAACTTTTTAAAAGTGCTAGGTGACCGTGTCCTATCCGATCTACACGCGAAAAAAACTGCGAGCCCACGTTCGATTCTCACGATAATGACAACAAAGGTGCTTGATGTCCGTAGTATTGTACATACTTTATACACATCATTTTTGTGAAATTTTTTTTGTCTGTAAATCCGGTTCACAGAAAATATTTTGTTTGTGCAAAACATTGTCTGTGAATCGATGTTCACAAACAAAAAAATATTTCACAAACATAGATGTATACAAAAGTGTGTATAAGAGCATGTACAAAAGGCTTTTTTGTAATGACAAATGGTTAGAAAACCCTAGTACATGTCAGTTCTACACTTCACTTTACCTGCGAGACAATTTTTTTCATTTTATGAAAGAGAATCATTTTTCGTTGAGACAATTTTTTTGTCTTTGCGAAAAACTTTTTTTTTCACGAAAAGAAAAAAAAAAATTGTTCACGCACACACAATCTAACTTACGCGTAAAATGTGGTGCATAATTTGGCGTGCAATAGATTGAAAATGAAAAGTTGAAAACAATGAAGACTATTGTTTATTATGGATTGTGTGTTAATTTACTTTATTTTAAAAGGGAAACTCTTCTAAAAGGAAAAAGTACTTTACTACTTTTCAGTTTTCATTACAATATTCCCCTCCCATGCTAATGCTAAGACCCTAAAGACCCTTAGTAAATGGAGTATTTTTTGTTTAATTATCATCTATTTCTAAGAAAGGGATAAAGTTAAAAAATGTGCATTGTAAAATGCACACATGTGATAGAAGGAATCAAGGAAGTAGCCACTGAGAAGCAGACAATATTGTATTATTGTTCAATACATTGGACTTACTTCTAAGTTAACAATAATAATGGACATTAATAATGTGATTATGGTAATGCATAAACTAGCTAATCTCCACCTAATTCAAGATATCTAGATCAGTTTGATTCATAAAAATATCTTCTTGTTTTTGGAATAAGAAAACAGAATGAGGGTGGAAGGGACTTACAGGTGTGAAAACAGGGTAATCCAGAGCACAGAAGTGTGGGTGGAGATGATGAGAAGAAACAGGGGAAGCTAAAGAAAATCTCAGATTCGCCGCCGCGCCTGGGCTGCCGCCGCCCTGCACAAGAGCGGCGTGGAGAGCTCTGAGCTCCACCGCTTTAGCAATGGCGTCTTTAATCTCTTCCCTTCTGAATTTATCGTTGTCTTCTTTCCTGCCAACTTCCTCACCATTTTCTTCAGAGCTTTGTTTTGGAGCAGACATGAAAAACAGAGGATGATAAACACAGAACACTAAGTAGAAGACTAGAAGAGGATATGAATTTGTCACTCACTGACATATATACATGATGAGGATATAGTTCCATGGGGAGTATTATTATTTTAGTGGAAAGGAACGAAAGGGGTTGAAATAGTGGGGGATCTTACGGCTGGAATTCATTTGCAGAGGAATCGGTGTAGAGGACCAGAAAAAGAGAGAAGAAAAGGGTGGGGTGGGGTGGGTCTAAAAGTATTTTGAAGGTCGAAATCTAAAATGGGGATTTCTTTGGCAATTTAAAGGTGTGTTAGTAGAAAAGTAGAATGAGTGCGTGTGAAGATAAAAGAGATGATGTGGCGGGTGATTCAATATTGTCCTTCCTAATGTTTTTAGAAAAAATCTTAATGTACGTGGCTTGTGCACAAATTGTTTGTGTATATAGGCAATTCATTTGAAAATAGATAGGATTTGATGCCAAAAGTCTCATAATTGTCTGTGTATACAGGCAATGTATAATTTGTATACACATTATGTGTACACCAAGAATTGTCCATATTTTTACTATGACACCACCTCATTCCTCGGGGGTTTTCAGCATCGGCTGGACAGTTAACTTGAAGGATGTAAATTAGATTTTAAAAACAAACTGACAGATAGTGAGTGAGGCTCTGGTCCAGCTAGTTGCAAAGGTGCTATGCATTTTTACATTGTAACATCTCATCGCAGTTCTCATGATTCGAATTAGAGACTTATCCCTTATGACACCTCGTATCTATCAGTTGAGCTACGTCCATCGGCTCCTAATGTTTTATTCCGGATAGTAGAATAAGTGCATCCACATATTGGTCCTTATTTTTATTTTTTTATTCTTTTAATATTTCTTTTAATTTAGAATTTTTGCTAGTTTTACTCATATTTTGAGTAAAACTCATATTTTGAGTAGATTCTTTATCAAATATCTCATATTTAATCGTTTTCTTTTCCTATGTCATATTTCCAACTTTATTTTATCATGTTTCATTGTTGAGGTATTGGGCTACCTAAATAATAGGCCGGCCTATCACCATTAAGTCACCCCATGGCTTACTCCCCACACAAATAGGGATACATATCGGGCGCACATTTGAAGCCGAGCAAGTTCGGGAAACCCGAGAGGCCCGTAGGGAGGATCAAAGGAGGTTTTGAGTGCTTCCCAATTGGGCCAATTAGTACACCTACTGAAGAGCGACCTTATAACATCCACATTTGGAGTCTACAGGCGGATGCTCAACCTGGTTGGAAGTTGAATGATTTTTCCATTTGTGCAGGTGTTGCCTGTGGACGAAGAGCCCCATGTCGAGATAATTGGCAGGAAACATAGAATTGGCAGGAAGATCATTTAATGCGAAGATATGATAGGATATGAGTAGTCATTAGGGAGGCGGCACATCACCATGTCCAACTATTTGGGCTGCTATAAATACCCCTCATAACTCAGACTACATGTTGGTCTTCAACAATCAATAACATTTAATATCTTCTCATGTAAACATTGTACTGTAGCGACCGATAGAGCAAAATACTTAGGTGTTTGTTCTTGAGCATATGCTAGGAGTTTTTCATTATTATGAATTAGATACGTCTTATAATTCTGAACATCGGAATCGATCACCCACCAAAGGTGTTGTGCTGATCATTTGGCAATCTCCGTCATAGTGTGAGAATACTCCAACGAAAGGCTGAGCATGTCGCTAAACTATAGGAAGCGGTTGTCGGCCTGAATCATGATTAATAGAGAGGAGGACAACCAAGTCCTTTGGCTGAAGGTGGAAGTTGTTGAAGAAGGTTGAGATCCGAATGGATACCAACCTCCCCCTCGACAATCCTAGTGTATTTCTCTAATATGTCAAATATTCGAACGAACGGTCCAGTTGCATTCTAGAAATCTAATGTGTGTGTTTAAGAGTTTTTCCCTTATTACTGTTAATTAATTAATTAATTACGAAAATAGGGTTGGGTTAAAAGTATTTATCAATATACTGCTGGGTTAACCATGGTCGGGGTAAGTCACCCAACGGTAGGGTGACTTATAAGTTTCCAAACGGTTTGGCGACTTATAAGTCGCCCAACCGTTGGGCGACTTTCCCTTAAGTAAAAACATCGGCCAACCACAAAACAGAACGTTGCGTAAACCGAATCCCCAAATCCCCCAAGCCGCAGCGACGAAGGACGAAGCACGAACGATGACCGATCCATTTCCAACTCCGGTGAACCTCCATCTCCGGCGACCCCACTCTGGCAAACCTCCATCTTCATCTTCAACACTCTTTCTTCTTTCTTGTAGGTAAATCAAACTCCATTTCATCTCATTTTGCACTTAGGGTTTTCAATGTTAAAATTTTCGAATTTTTAGATTATGAATTGATTGTGAATTGAGTTGTTGTGAAATGTGGATATGTATGAAATGTTGAAATTTGATTTTAAATTGATTGTAAATTTTAAAGTGTATTTTGACATTTGGGCATTTCGGTAGATTTGAAAATTTGAATGTGTATAAATTCTGTATATTGATGTCTACTCATGATAGTTGGATAATGAATTGTTATTAGAATATGGATTTATCAAGCTTCCCAATCGTGTGTCATTGGGGAGGGAACTATTATGAGGATGTTGGGCAAATATGCCATGAAGGTGGTAGAACCACATTTGTCATGGTTTCTCGTGGTGCTTGCATGCTCGAGATCCTTCAAAAAATACATGCAGCCACAATGATTCATCCTAGTCGTTCTTTGCGTTTGAAAATGAAATTTCCCATGAACGGGGGAAAGTACATGCTTATGCCCCTCATTGATGAGCTAGCTATAACAAATATGTGGGGCATAGTTCAGATGGAGGACATGTCGACGCTGGAGATATACATTGAGGAATCCATATGTGACGCTTATGGTACTCCATCAACATCAAATGCTGTTATATCTAGACATTATGTCAATGCAGGTGTGAATGCAGGGAACTCCTCAAATGCTCCTGTACTGCACATGGTTATACAGGAAGATGGTAGGTATTTGCACAACGGTGCATCATTTGTGGATGGGCAGGGAAGTGATGATGATGCTGACGACAACATCAATGGTGATGACATGACAGAATCTGATGAAGATGATGATGATACGGTCACGGCAACTGCCCCGTCTAGCCACTTTACTATAATGTATGATCTCCCTGAAGGCTTTACTGATGTGTGGATGAGTGGATCAAGTGAGAAAAGGTTTACTCCCCGAAGGTGAGTTTGAGGTCGGTCAACAGTTTGACAACAAAGAACAAGTTATCAATATGGTGAGCTTGTATTCTATCAAACGGAACCAATTTTATCGGGTGATAGAGTCCGATAAACATAAATGGGTGGCACAATGCAAAAGGAAGAAAGAATGTAATTGCCCCTGGAGAATACGCGCCACAAAGAATAAAGGCAACCTTGACACCTTCACAATTGTGCGTTATCCTGGACCTCATTCTGCTACGTGTGTTGGGAACACCGACACTACCGATCACGTGGCTTTGACTTCAGATTTCATCTCTAAAGATGTGATTGACATTGTTCGCACTGATCCTTCCCTTAAAGTGCATACTATCATTGAGATGCTGAAGGAAAAGTATGGGTATACGGTATCATACCGGAGAACATGGATGGGGAACCAAAAGGCCATAGCAGAAATATTTGGCGGTTGGGAGAAGTCATATTCTGAATTACCCCGTTTCATGACAGCGCTCCAAGATTCAAATCCTGGAACTATTATGCAGTGGTACCCACTCCCTAATACTCCCACAGGTTATATGCAGTTTCAAAGAGTTTTTTTGGGCATTCAAGGCATCAATACATGGTTTTAAGCATTGTCGACCCGTACTTACTATTGTACGGGTACATTGCTCGTGGCCATGGGTTGTGATGCGAACAACCAAATATTTCCAGTGGCCTTTGCAGTTGTTGAATCTGAGAATGGGGATAGTTGGCCATGGTTTATGGCATGTATTAAGCAGTTTGTCACTTATAGAGAGTTGTGTGTCATTTCTGATCGACATGGAGGTATTGTCAGGGCAATGAATGAGGTGGGCAGTACTTGGGAGGAGCCTTATGCGCATCATAGGCTATGTATCTGCCATCTTGCATCGAATGTGCACACTCATTTCAAAGACATTCATCTAAAAAATCTTTTTGTCTGGACCGCACGGCAACATCAGAAAAAGAAGTTTGACGGTGGGTTCAAGAAGATAGGTGAAATGAGTTTGGAGGCACGACAATTTCTGGGGAACATTCCCCCGGAAATGTGGTCATTGCACCACGATGGCGGGTACAAATACGGTACCATCACTTCTAATCTGGCAGAGGTTTTCAATAGCGTGATGAAAAATGCCAGATATTTGCCCATCACCGCTTTGGTCCAGGTTTCCTTTTACTGGGTTAATGCTTATTTTGTTAATAGGCGTGAAACCAGTAAAATGAGAGTGACAGAAAGCCACGAGTACTCCCCATACATCACAGGTTTAATTGATAAGAATAGAGAGAAGGCGAAGCATCACACGGTTACTCCATTTGATTTAGGCTGAGGGATATTTCAAGTGGAAACCGGTTGTGGTGGTCGAACGTTGGGGAAGGGTGGGAGAAAAAAAACTGTCCATCTAAAACGGAAAACTTACACTTGTAAAAAGATGGAGATATATAAGATTCCATGCTCCCATGTGTTAGTCGTGTGCAGACAACGTAGCTTATCTTATGCTCCATTTGTGGATTAGTTTTTCTCATCTGATCAATACGCGACCACATATCATAGAGTCTTCAAACCCATTCCTAATCGTGATTATTGGCCTACTTACAATGGACCTGAAATCGTGCCCGGTCCATCCATTCTTCGGGCTAAGGGAAGACCTAAGTCGACACGTATTAAGAATGAGATGGATGAAGGTCCCCGACGAACGGTTAGATGTGGAAAATGCCACCAAACCAGACATAATAGGGCCATATGTGCGAAGAGATCGTCAAGACACGATGTGGGGTCCAGTGGGTAAGGTTTTAATTATAGTAATTCACAATTCATCTTAGCGTTGCATGAAAACATATTAATTAATAAAATGGATGATTAAAAAAAAGAGTTATTTGTAAAAATTAACTTATACGATTTTATTTGTTTGTAGGCATGGAGGTGACAGCGACGACTTCATCATCTCAGACGCAGCATGAGAGAGTGGTTCTTCAACCACGATCAC